AGGGTTAATACTTTTGGGGTTGTTCCCTTACCTATTCCATTGGGTGATGAGGGCTGCAATAGTGAGGGTGGTCAGAGGGATCAGGAGTTGAGAGTTTATCACAGGCGATGCAGGCAGGTTGATCCCGGTCATCAGCAGTCTAGGCCAACTCCAACCTCTTCTGCGGCTCCAAGTCCAAGTATTACAGTCCCAGGGCCCACAAAGACTCCTTTCACTATTGCCACTTCACCTCCTGCAGACGACCTTGACCTTCCCATTGCCGTCCGTAAAGGGAAACGACATTGCACCACATCTACAGCTCACTGCATTTCCCAGTTTTTATCCTATGATCGCCTATCTCCCTCCTATAGGTCCTATCTTACTTCCGTTGCCAATGTCCCTATTCTAAGAACAGTGCAAGAAGCCTTATCAGTCCCGGAGTGGAAAGGTGCAATGCAAGTTGAAATAGGGACATTGGCAACGGAAGTAAGATAGGACCTGTAGGAGGGAGATAGGCGATCATATATCAGTCCCGGAGTGGAAAGGTGCAATGCAAGTTGAAATAGATGCCTTGTTGAAAAATAATACCTGGGAGATAGTTGATCTGCCCAAAGGAAAGAAACCAGTTGGATGCAAATGGATATTTACTGTGAAGCACAATGCGGATGACTCCATTGAGAGGTACAAAGCTCGGCTAGTTGCAAAAGGGTTCACCCAGACTTATGGTATAAATTACTTGGAGACTTTTGCCCCAGTAACCAAGATGACCACCATTCGAGTTCTATTATCTCTTGCAGCAAGCCACACTTGGCCTTTGTACCAAATGGGCGTTAAAAATGCTTTCCTGAATGGAGACCTACAGGAAGAGGTTTACATGCGGTTGCCTCCTGGATTACARAGACAGGTAAGAAGGTCTGCCGGCTCAATAAGGCATTGTATGGTTTGAAGCAGTCACTTAGAGCTTGGTTTGATAGATTCGGACTAGCCCTTGGGAAGTTCGGTTATCTATAGGCCCAGTCAGATCATACACTGTTCATCAAAAGGGTGGAGCCCTCTCTGGCACTACTTGCAGTATATGTTGATGATATTGTGGTGACAGGAAATGATAGCCATGGGATTGAGTCCCTCAAATAGCTCCTTCATCAAGAGTTTGAGGTGAAAGATCTKGGTRCACTAYGGTATTTTTTGGGYATTGAGGTTGCTAGATCTAAACAGGGGATCTTTGTCTCTCAGAGGAAATATGTTCTA